GAACACCATATCCCCTTGGGTCATGCTCACATGCGTCTTTTACTGTGCACTCTGTATGATCAGTGGAACCTATCTTGGCATCCATTTTTCCAGAGTGGTCCTTCAATCTTTGTATTTTTAAATGGCTTTGCTCTTGTTTGGGCACTTTTCACATTGATCTTTTTGCTACTTACGACAATGCCTAGCTTTCTCTATTCAGTTCTTCTGTTTCACATACATCGGTACTGGCAGTGGATGTGTTCAGTCAGAAATGGGTCAATCTCTTCCTTGAGCTTACTCTGTTATTTGTCTCTTTCCTTGAGTTCTCCCTTCATTCAGGACACTTCTCATCATTGACTGGTCCAGTTATGATTTCCTCTTCTGAGCCTTCTGACTTCCTTCCCTCTTTTTCACCCTCCCTTCAACTTCATACTTCTCTCTTCATCCCAGCCATGTCATCACTGGCTTCATGCATTGGATTTGTCTAGTTCCTTGCTGGATGGCTGGGACTCTCTTCATGTGTAGCCTTCCTGTCCCAGCCCAAGGTATTCTCGCAGTGCTCATTTTCCTAAACAAGGCCCACTACAGAGTGTACCCATTCATGGACTAGCATGAGCAAAGCAGGCATGGGATTCCTGCCAATTCTTCATGGTTAGTTTAAAACCTAGTGCTGGCCTGTTTTTAGAAATAGGGTTTTTGTGGTCACTTGTTGCACTGTCTTATGGTGAAACACTTCTCTTCACAAAAAGCTTTCATTCCCCTTTTTCTTCTCATGGATTATGAGAGTCCTTGCCACTCAACCATTTCCTAGTCACTAAGGGGTGTACCATGGAGGATGCCCCCTGAATGTGACCAGTTCTACTCAGTAGAGAGTAGGGCAGTGGTGTTTTGTCCATGTGGTACAATTCATCCCTATGGTTGCCTTTCTCCTATCCTACAGCTACCCAGAAGTTGAGTTCTTGGGTGGTCTGGTGTTGGATTGGAACAGGACTAGCCAACATAATTCTTCACTTAGTTGCAGGATGTATGTTGTTTTCTTATTCTGCTTCACTGTGATGTTCGTATTTCCTGTATCACCTGGTTTTAGACTGGAGTTGGCCCACCATGTACATTCTGATGTGCCCTAGCCACACTACATGAATAGCACTTCCAATATCCTGATCCAGATTTTGGATTGTGTTTCTATCTTCTATCCATCCTTGGGATACTTCCTTTCCAGGCAGAGAGTGTACCCTGATACAGATGAGGTGTGGTCTCCAAGTTTTTCAAGGCATAGTGTGGTGCACTCCATGGGTTTTCTTTGGGTGTTTCCCAAAGGGGCTCTTTAGGTATAATTTTGCAACAGTCCATCCACCACTTGAATGTGGGATTCTAGTTAGGTGTGAGATGAGGTTATTCATTGCACTGTATTTAACATTTTACAACACTGAAAATGTATTTCTAATAGATATTCACCTCTTCTCTCACTTTTCACCCTTTCTCCCCACTTCTGGTGCATTTTACTTTCTTGCCTAATCTTAAAGTGATGATTGAACAATCAGTGTAGGGGGAGCCAACTGCACTACGAGGTGGTGTCACACTCTTATTGGTGTAGGGTTGTTATATGCTCATTTGCCTGTGAGATTAAGGTGGAAGCTTTAAGGCTAGTGGCAAGTAAAAAAGTTTGCATATGGCAAACAGCACTGAATCTGGAAGAGCTAGATGTATCTATCAGAAATACATTTTCAGTGTTGGAAAATGTTACCGTTCAAAGATGTTGCAGAATGGATTATTACAATATTACAATAAACATGCAATAAGTAAACAAGTTATGGATGCAAGAACATTGTCTGAAAGATAAGAATCAAGTATCTGAAAACCACTATTTTGAAACACACCTTCTTTCACACTTTAGCTTCATCCCGACAAAAGTTTCCCTTCTTTGATTTCATGGTATGAATTACACCTCACTTGCTCCAGTCTTTATACCCCACTATATTGCCCATAGCAATTTTAATCTTGTGACTCTCACCATCTACATCAGTGTACCCTCTATACAAGATCTGTATATAAGCTCCCTGTTATTACTTCTTATTCATTTTTTCTCAACAGCAGAAATTATGATGATGGTTTTATGTGATTAATGCTGGTTTCTCTTCACCATTATTGCTATGTTTCCAACATATGCTTTTGGTTTCTTTTAGAACTGTTATAATGGATTGAGTTTATTGTTCATTTTCTTTACTACAGAAAAAAGTGAGTGACTTAATTTCTTTTGTCTTCCTTTTCAGGGACACTTGTCATATACTATTGGATCCCACTCTGTGGCAGGTGTTGTCTGGTCAGGTATGTTTATTTCCAAATCTGCACTAAGTACCAATTGACCAATCAATAATTTTCCTGGTAGCAACAAGCTCTATTGAGTTGGGGTGTTCCATAAGACCACTTTGTGCACACTCCAGGTGGTACACAAATACACTACTGAATTGCTACTCATGGATTATCATATGTAAAGCTAAAGGGGATTTTGCCCATCCCTGCTGAACCTCAATTAAATAAATCAGGGTTAGTTTGCTTTTCAAAATAGAGAACATGGTTTACCTACTGCACTATCTCTGGAGCATCGTTCCTCAGAACTCCCCAACACAAGTATCCCCCATCCTATTTCTCCTAGTTGAGCATGGGAGTCCTTACCACTCCCGATTTCCAGTCACTAAAGAGGACAAAGCCGGGTCCCTTCTACCAATAATCTTGGAAAGTTTTCCCAGATGTATGGTGGGAGCAGGTACAGCTTTCTCATAATTCTGGTTCAGAGATGACTCTTTGCTATCCAGTTGTGTTGTGCATGGCCCCTCTAAATGGTCATTCTCTTTATTTTGATGATCACGGAAGATAGTCTTAGACTCTTTGGAATTCTGCATGCAGAGCATCACTTCCTGTCCCATTGGTTGAACCTCGTTGTTCCAAATCCTCGGCATAATTCCAGGGGCAGGATGGGTTGCCTTGCCTCTCAGGTTAGGGAGTTAGGACTTAGGTTTATAATCCCAGGCTGGATGCTCTCTGTTGTTTTTCGGCTTGAGTGAGGCATGAATGGTCCCATAATTCCGAGTTCAGTTTGTTACATTATGTGCTTCTTCAGGTTGTGGGGAAGGTTTGTCCACTTGGGTGTTGCTTGCCTTCTCTTCATAATTACGGTGGCTCACAGGCAACATTCTGTATTTTTCAGATTGGGTGCCTCAGCCCATGATTTTGAGTTTGGTTAGTTGCATTTTGTGCTTCTTCAGATTGGGGTGAGGGTTTGTCCACTTCAGTGTTGCTTGCCTTCTCTTTGTAATTTTGGTGGCTTGACATGCAACATTCTGTAACTTTCAGGTTGGATTCCATTAATATCATATCACTATAATGTAATGATATAACACTGCAGTCCACATGCCCCAGCCACTACACCTTGGATTTCGCTTTGGGTCCACAACCCTAGAATTCAAATGATGAGACATGGGACCTTATCTACATGATTGAGACCTGGACAACTCTTGTGAGCACGTACAATATTTCTAGACCATATGCATCTGGTATTGCAGGAAGAACCAATTTTGGAATAGATGTCCCTTCTTGTATGTTTCTTTTATCAATGTTACAGTTTTGACACTGTGACTGGTTGGCCTTTATCACCCACGTTTTTGATTTCACATTATCTGGGTGAAGAGCATATCTGTTCGAGAAGTTGTGTGGATCCTACTGGTATGCTATACTATATCTCATTTTGCAAATCTGTTTTTGTACACTGATGCCTTCTGTGTGTATTTTGTCCTCACTGGCCCTTCCACCTTGTCAATGTTGGATTCTAGTTAAAGTGTGTTTCATGGGTAAGTGTGTTTCAGAAGTTTAACTTTTTCTATACCAAAAATGTATTTCTGATAATACTTACCTCCTCTAACACTATCATGCCTTTCCTCCCCATGATGGCCAGTGTTCAGATCTGATGATTTTGCCAATCTCGAAAAAAAGTGAATAAGAAGTAATAACAGGAGCTTATATACATATCTGGTATAAAGGGTACATTGATGTAGGTGGAGATAGTCAGATGTTTCAAATTGCTATGGGCAATGTGGTTGAATATAAAGACTGGAGTAAGTGAGGTATAATTCATACCAATGCTTAGATGGGCAGAGAAGAGAAACTTTTATTGGGATAAAGCTAAAGTGTGAGGAGAGGTAAGTATTATCAGAAATATATTTTTGGTATAGGAAAATGAAAACTTCTGGAAATATTATTCTGAGTAATATTTCAAATATGGACAGCAAAGGAAATACAAATACACGGTACATTCCCAAAATCCCTGACCAGGTATACCACAGTTTAAGCAGGAACTCCTTCCCTTGAACTCTTGGCACCTTCAGAAGATCAACTCTGGCTGCATTTGCAGCTCAGTGATAGCAGATGGGTCTGAGAGGCCCTGTTTTCTCATATGGAATCATGGGGACTGTCATGATGCCTTTTGACATTGCTTTTGTGGATCTGGTCATTAATACTAATTTGGAATCTGCTGTATGTCTTGGAGGTGAGACTGTAGTTGGATTTGCTACAGCAGCTGAATTCTTTCTCTGCTGTAGTGCATGGCTGATTTGAACCACATCACCACAGAAACTGTTTCTGTGAGAGATAAAATGTTCATCAGACCCATGTGATGCTGCATGGGCTCACTCAGCAACCCTGTAGTGAATTTATTGTTGAGTGTTTCATTGTAATTTCCAGGAAACATTCTTGGGAATGCCTTCTTATACAATCTTAGATCAATCATGTAAGCAGCCATGTTCCCATTGTGCTTTTACTTTGAGCTCTGAACCATATGGAAATGTTATGAAAAGGGGAGTAAAATTTCAAACGTAGATAGCAAGGGAAATAGAAATACATGTTTAAAAATGAACAAAATCTTTATTGATACAAAAAGTTATTGAATTTTTTTCACTTGACTGGATGATTTCTAGTTCAATATGAGGACTACTTACTGTGAAGTGGAGGATTTCACATGTCTATGTAAAATGCATGGATTTAACAGATTTAAAGCAAGAGGTGGGGGTAAGAGAGGGAGAATAATGTAGATAATCTACTTTTATGTAAAACAGGTCCTGCATTTCTGAGATCACCTATGCTAATGATAATTCCAAGTATATTCAAGAGAGAGAGAGAACCCTCAACTCCTAACTTGTACAAATATCTTTATCACCTCTTGAAAAGAGCTTAACAGGGAGCAGATTCAGGGCCAAACAGGTACAAGTTTCTATGGAATTGACTTTGCAGAATATAACCTTCACCTAAGATAGAGGATTAGTGTGTTTACAACTTTTGTACATCTGGTTTACCAGGAAGATACTAACTAAATGCAGAACACTTCCAGGGAAATTTTGAAAATATTTTGAATATATCTGAATTAAAGATATATTTTGCACTTCTTATTAAAAGGTAAAATTTGAAGTTAAGTAAACCATTAATGAATAAAGAAAGTAATTTAAAGAGTATCTGATATTGTTTGGTGTTCAGTGAATCTTGAAATACATGCTTTCAGTTAAAATACACACCACAAAGAAATGTAATTGACAGTTATAGTTGATTGAAATGTAAAGTACAAGATGCTAACAAGAAACAGAATAAATATTTTCATTAGAATATTGGCTATGATTTTTCCATACAACCTACTCTTTGTGGGCATCAAGTTGCAAAATAATAAGTTGCTTATTAAATTTTACAAGTGTGGGTAAAATGTAGGTCTAACTAGGTATCCCACATTTGTTACATTTCATTTCATACTTTCAAAATAATGTTTTTTCTTATCTGATTTATTCATACAATATAATAATGAATCAAGCAACATACATTATACAAACACAACACATTGGTTACATCTCTTGTCTGTCATGTGGTTCACATAAAACTTGATATATAAAGATACAAAAATATTAAAACTCAATAAGTCCATCTTTGTGTCTGATAACTGTCTTCTTCAATGTTACTGACAATGTTGGGTTAATCTTATCTAAAATGTTTTGAGTATAATATTGTCGCATATGTTCGATAACATCAAATCAAAATGTTTAACCAAAATTTTTTGGTTCATATTTAAATCAAAATAGAATTAATATTTTGCATTTATTTTTCAGTCATCATAGCTTAAGTTTTTTAAATCAGAAAATTTATTATTTTGTAAAATATATAATTTCAAGTGTAATATGGTACCTGTATAT